TTGGTTTTTTAGAAGCATTATCTTCAGAGTCTTCTGAACTTGTTCTTTAGAAATGATGTCTTCAGAATCTTAAGAGCTTTGCTCACTAGAACCATGTATTCGGAATCTTCATAACTATATCAATGTTAAACACACTTCTTGTAAAGCCTTCTAGGCTTACCTATAATGTATCAATCAGAAACCTCATTACTAACGTTCCTTAGAACCGTTGTATTAGAAGTATTTCTAAATATTAACTTCATCTTTCACATACATATGTTTTTCTTCCAGTGTGTTGATAACCGTGTCTGATGACATCACACGTCTTCTTATCAGAGTCAGAATCATATTGACAACAGCCGCACACTAGACATAAATCATATCATACAAAATTGTTCTTTTAGATAACTTGTGCAGTTATCATCAAAATTTAAAGGTAAAATGTAAAACCAATTCTCATTCTTACAATCTTCCCCTTTTTGATGATGACAAATAATGCATTTTGATAAACAATTCGTATAGGGTAATCACCATAAATCCACAGAGTCAGATATAAGCTTAAGAGGATCCCCCTGAATCAGTTACTCTTAAAATTCATTTATGCTTGTTTAGAGTCTCCCCCTAATCCCAAGACTTACAAAATGATTTTGAATTAGAATCATATCAATAGAGAAGGATTACTTCTCAATGACGTCTCATCAGAATCTTACTAGAATTGGTTGATCTTCTTGTCAGAACCAAACTTGCTATCAGAATACTGTAGATGTATCAGAACCTGATTTGTCTTGTTAGACTTGCTGTCTTGCATTATATATCATAAACTGGTATATACTTTCTTAGATGCCACACATCATGTATCAAAACCAAATCTTTAATATCTTAGCACAAATCACCAACATGTGCACATATCCTCACGTCATTTGATGGTTCAGAAACCAAATATTTTCTTTAATGATCATGACTTGATTTGATTTCCGAAGGATTTACATTATTTTAAGCTGGAGTCTAGATACCATTTAAAGTTTGGATACTAATTGGATTTTAGATACCATTTGAATCAATTTGAGCATTCTTTCAGAAAGTTAACAACTTTTGACAAGTTTTGGGTATCAGCATGAAACTTATGAATATCCTTTCTGATTATCCTTTACTTCTGATACTTAAGTGGTCGACACCAGATATTCATATATTATCAATTAACATTCGTCTTTCTTGCATATGTTTTCTTATGATTATATCTTCTGATATCTTGTACAAATGCTTATGATAAAACCTTCTTGATTATTGACTTCTGATGCACATTACTTGCTTCTTGATCATATCTTTGATATTCTATCAAATAAAAATCATGTATTCTGATATATCATAGACTTTGATATGTTTTGTCACTTCTGGTAAAGTCTTCTGATAACCTATTCTAACATACAGTGAACTTTTGTGAAGTTCATGATAAATTCTCAAACATATGGTTAGAAATAAACATATTTGCATTATATTTGGGATGAGATTCTTTATACTAGGTATCAAAATTATATATCATTTTCTCCCCCATTGTTAGAAATAAAAAAGGTAAATAAAAGAATTTGACAAAGTAAAAAGAAGACTATTGTGAAGACATAAAAAGGAATTTCATTAATATTAATAAAGAAGTTACAATGGAAGACGACAAACATAAACAAACTTAGGATTTATGACAAAAACTAAAAACTTAGAAGTTCTAAGATTCAACAACTCTTCAGGACCTGAGGTTTGTAAGCTCTCCCTGTGTCAGATGATCTTCGAGAGGAGGTTTGTAAGCTCTTCTGAAATTCTATCTGAAAAGTCTAAGTGAGGTTTGTAAGCTCCCTTCCATTCAGAACATATAAACTAATATTCTAGCAGATCCTTAACAACTTGCATCTTACTTCAAGACAAGCCTCATCTGGTCTAAGCCATTTAGCTAAACCATTGATTTTATCCTTGAAGAAGAGCTAAGTCAAAACTCTTTCATAAGGAATGTATGACTTCATGTGTTGACCTCTGAAAGTCTTAACAGGATCCTTCAAGTGATTGAAGATTGTTAAGGAAAGATTGATTATGGTATTCTTCATCTGAAAATAGATAAACAATCTGTCTTCATGAGATAGAATATTTTTGTCTATTTTCCGAGATTGAAAATTGTTTAGAAGATTAAATCAAGCTTTAACAGAGGGTGAAAGTCTATCCAGGTTTGTCATACTCCAAATTTGCCCTACCATTTCAAGGTTTTCATGCCAAACGTTTGTAATGCTTAATGATCTTTCTTAAAATAATCATTTGACTTTTGGCAATGATTCTCTAAATCTAGGCCATGGAAAGTGAGGTTCAATTTTTTTAGATTATTCTTCCTTAATTTTCTCTTTATTTTCTAAAAAATTTGTTCTTATAATACATACACAAACAAAAATTTATACGTCTACTACAAAAATATGGTTAGTTTCATCAAATGCTACTTTCTATATTCATGATGGTCTTTTATAATATTGAAAAAAATAAATCGAAGGAAAAAAAATCTTTTTTATGTTTTAATGACCTTAAATATAAAAGATTAAATCATAATTTATTACCTTTGTCACATAATTATTTAATACTAAGTAAATTGTATTATAAACTTTCAACAATCAAAATAGTTCAAAAATAGAATTAAGACTATTATCAATAGTCTTAGAAGCAACAATTTTATCTTTGTTGTCTTCGGAAGAACAAAATCATTTTTTAGAAATAAAAGATAAGAAAATATTTTTATTTTGGTCGTATAATTTGAACAATCAATATCAAAATACTATTTTAAGTTGTCAAATACCTTGCATCACAAGTTAATTTTTTAACATTAGATACCCAAATCGTTTTACATCCTCTTGTATTAATGAAATAGAAATTATTTCTAAGAGTCCAATATGAATTATAATGATAATTTTTCTTATACAAATGAGATGAAGAAAAAGTATTTTTCGTGTTAATTTTATGATTCTTTCAAGCAATATAACAATTTTACTATAATAATTGCATTTAAAAATATTATATTTATAGGTTATATCCGCATGATAAATATTACTAAACGACTTAGTATAGTATTGTTTTTCGATTAATAATTAGAACAATTTTAATATAGGTTGCTTTTTAATTATAATGAGATTCAAATTAATAGTATTTTATTTTGTTTAATTACTTTATAATACTGCTAGCCCACAAAAATATTTATTGTGGTACCAGATTCTATCAAGAAATTCTCAAATCTATCTTTTGTAACTTTTTCTAGACATCTACACAATTTGCAAGAAATGAATGCCTTTAAGTCTATTTTGTTTGGTGCACACCAAGTTGGACGTATATGCATAGAGGGCCGGTTAGATAACCCAAAATTAGTGTCCATTTATTTTATGTAAGCCGTAATTTCAGGGAACCTAATTAAGAAGAAATACACATTTTCATGACCATCCTTGAATTTCCCGTTCTCTGCATGATAAACCTAACAAAAACATGAAAAAAGGGAAGAGTGAATCACAACAAAATCTGCATGATAAACCTAACAAAAACATGAAAAAAGGGAAGGGTGAATCACAACAAAATGGAATTGTAAAGGCAATGCATGAGCCAAAATCAAATTTAATACCAACAATAACAACATGAGAAAAGAAATCAAAGTCCAAATAATACAAGGATCGGTTTATCTTTTTCAAGTGTTCACATCGGGCTAAAATTAAGGCCCCACAAAATCCTTGCAAAAGGCCTCAACTGACACGTCACACTAAAAAACAAAATTAAAATAGCTGAGAGAATATTGATTTTGTTCCCTGAAACCACCCTAAATCTCCTATAAAAAGAGGCCTAATATGAAGAATCCGTCAAAAATCAGCGCTGTTCTCTAGATTGGGTAAGTACACTTTCTATTCTTCTTATCTTTTGTTTTGTTGAACTTAGAGAATAGCGGTTGAACATCGAGAGAGAGAGGGTTTCTATTCTTCTTATCTTTTGTTTTGTTGAACTTAGAGAATAGCGGTTGAACATCCAGAGAGAGAGGATTTCTATTCTTCTTATCTTTTGTTTTGTTGAACTTAGAGAATAGCGGTTGAACATCCAGAGAGAGAGGATTTCTATTCTTCTTATCTTTTGTTTTGTTGAACTTAGAGAATAGCGGTTGAACATCGAGAGAGAGAGGGTTGAGAGAAGGGGTGAGTCTAGGTTGAGAAGAAGGTCAGTGTGAATCGAGAGAGAACTTCGAGAGAGAGGGTTGAGTCTAGATTGAGAAGAAGGTGAGTGTGAATTGAGAGAGAGGTTCCGAAAGGGAGAAAGAATGTGATGTTTGAGAGGGAGAAAGAGATTCCGAGAGGTTCTGAGGGAGAAAGAGGTTCCGAGAGAGAAAGAGGTTCCGAGAGTTCCGAGGGAGAAAGAGGTCCCGAGAGGGAAAAGTGACCCTTCCAAAAAGACACGTTGACCCTGCCAATTAGTTTAATTAATTTTAATAGGGTCAATTTGTAGGAGCTAATTTTATATAGTTTAGATTATTATTGATATTATCAGTGATATTATTAACTTTATTTTTTAAATAATATATATTATTTTCATAGTTTTTTTAAAAGTAAATTAAAAAATAATATATAATATTAATTAAATTTAGAATATATGTATAGTTATTTTAATAAACACTTCAAGATATATCAAACTTGAATAGGCCAAATTATAAGCTCATGTAAACCGGTTTGACCTATTAGAAATAAATGTTTTATCGAACTAAATAAAATTGCATTTGAAATTAGATTTTAGAGTATTACTCTTTGCACTAGTATCCTTAATAGTGATCACTACTTTGGACGAATTCAAAATACAACCAATTTTTCTTTTTTTTGTCTCGTCTAGTATATCGTCTAGTATATAAGTTAACTTTTAAATTTTCTTGAAATGCATAATTTGTTTGATTTTGCATGTTGTGTTCTCTGAATTTGATTTCTTTGATTATGCATAACTTTTTTTTGGATAATTGTGTTCATGCAGTAGTATTGAAGATGGAGAAGACTAAAACACTTGATGTGTATGGATTTCCTAGTGATGTGAACGTGTCGGATGTGAAGAGATTCCTAGAGCAGTATACCTCTGAAGAAAGTGTGTTTTTTATGATGATTAGAGTAACCCAAATGCGTCCTAAAGCGTGTGCCACTATTCAATTCACTACTGCAGGACAGGCTGCAACTATGATGTCCTTAGCGCAGAATTTGAAATACGAGCGTATGGATTTAACCCTGACAAAAGATATGGTTCCCAAGTCAACAGAGAATGAACACGGTATGGATCATGTGAAACTATATTTTGGCTGTCCGAACTCAGAGGAAAGATTGTCCCTTTAATGGGGAGAGGGGGGTGTTTATTTAGTTTTTCAAATTAAAATGAGAAAGTGGCTATTCAATATTCGCCAGGGTGATAAGAAGTTCAAACTTGAACTTTCGTACAAGAACATTCGGAAGATTGAGTTACATCAACCGCGGGGTAAAACTGTAAAGTATCTCCTGTTACAGGTTATTTAACTTAACTTTTATCAAGTGTTTTAAACTTCATTTCCCTTTTTGTTTTAAATATTGTTTTTCTGGTAATGTTTTTTTGTTGCACTTAATGATGAATCTTATTTCTTTCTCTTCTGTTCCTAGTTAATTCGTGCTCGCCGGGTTTTTGAGCTTTATGTTCCTCCTCCAACAAGTGGAGCTGATGATCCTTTGTACAACTATTGTAAGGAATTTCCTGATGACCAATGGATCCGCACAATAGATTTCACTCCTGAAAGGTGTATTGGGCAGTCTACAATTTTATGTCTCGAGCTTCCTAGTAACCAAGATTTACCCGATTTTAGGAAAAACTTTACACATTAAGAGGAAACTGAGTACACGCTGGAGAATGGATCTCCTTTTTCCTGCAATCCGGATATTGTCGCTATGGTTGCTCCTCCTCAAACAATTCAAATTCCATTTGACATATTGTTCAAAGTTAATTCGTTGGTTCAGCATGGATGTCTTTCAGCTTCTAAACTCGATGATAATTTCTATTTTCGAAAGATTTTTATTATGAACCTGCAAGATGGCTGGAAGATCAGTACAAAATGTACAGTAATTCAAATAACCCGCTTCGGTCACCATCTATATCGTTGGATAACGGGTTGGTATATGTTTGCAGGGTTCAGATAACACCATGCAAAGTATACTTTTCTGATCCAGAGATTAATGACTCAAATCGTGTTCTCCGTCATTTCCATGAGCATATTGATAACTTTTCTGCGTGTTTCATTTGTTGACGAGGAGCTGGATAAACTTTATTCAGCATGTTTATCTGCACGTTTACGAGAGTGGGAAAACTGAGATATACCAAAGGATTCTTTCCATGCTTAGAAATGGCATAGATATTGGTGGTAAGAAGTTTGAATTTCTGTCTTACTCGTCAAATCAGTTGCGTGAAAACTCGCGGATGTTTGCTACTACAACAACTGGAGTTACCGCAGAATCCATAAGGGAATGGATGGGAGATTTTAGTCGGATAAAAAATGTGGCTAAATATGCTGCTAGACTCGGACAATCTTTCTGTTCGTCTATTGAAACTCTAAGCGTCAGCAGATCCGAAATTGAATGTATTCCTGATGTGAAGGTTCCAAATACTAACTGCATCTTCTCTGATCTCTTGAGTTTGCTAGGTATGTGGCTAACACATGTGTTTACGATCCTACGCCATCCGCCTTTCAGATTCGGTACAAAGGAGTTGTTGCGGTTGATCCAAACTCATCTGAGAAGTTATCACTAAGGGAGCATGCACAATTATAATTCAGAATAAGCATGTCCTTCAGAATATTAATGCATGCTACCTTAGTGACAACTTAGTTTGCATGCCCCACTAACAGATTCAACAAAGACATCAAGTTTTTCATTTTCTGAATTATACTTGTGCATGCTCCCTTAGTAACAACTTCTCAGATGAGTTTGGATCAACCGCCACAACTCCTTTGTACCAAATCTGAAAGGCGGATGGCGTAGGATCGTAACCACATGTGTTAGCCACATCCCTAGCAAACTCAAGAGATATTTTCCCAATTCCATCAGAGAAGATGTAGTTAGTATTTGGAACCTTCACATCAGGAATACCCATGCAAAGTTTAAATTCGATACTTTAAAGATATTATTGGTTTTTCACCAAAGTAGTGATCACTATTAAGGATGCTAGTGCAAAGAGTAATACTCTAAAATCTAATTTCAAATGCAACTTTATTTAGTTCGATAAAACATTTATTTCTAATAGGTCAAACCGGTTTACATGAGCTTATAATTTGACCTATTCAAGTTTGATATAGCTTGAAGGGTTTATTAAAAAGACTATATATATATATATTCTAAATTTAATTAATATTATATATTATTTTTTAATTTACTTTTTAAAAAATTATGAAAATAATATATATTATTTAAAAAATAAAGTTAATAATATCACTGATAATATCAATAATAATCTAAACTATATAAAATTAGCTCCTAAAAATTGACCATATTAAATTCTATTAAAATTAATTAAACTAATTGGCAGGGTCAACGTGTCTTCTTGGAAGGGTCACTTTCTCCCTCTCGGAACCTCTTTCTCCCTCTCAAACATCACATTCTTTCTCCCACTCGGAACCTCTTCCCCGATTCACACTCACCTTCTTCTCAACCTACTTAAAAACAATTCTCTCCCCTTCTCTCAACCCTCTCTCGAAGTTCAACCGCTACTCTCTAATCTTATTTCTATAATCAACATTCAACAAAAAAAATAATAAAGAGAATAGGAAGAGTACGTACCAATAAAAAAAACAGCAGTGATTTCGACAGATTTTTCGCCTCCTCTTTTTTGCCAATGAAAGCTTGTGAAACTGTATTTTGGCCGTCCGATCTCAGAGGAAAGATTGTCTGTTTTATGGAGAGTTTTATGGAGAGAGGTGGGTGTTTATGGAGAGTTTTATGGAGAGAGGTGGGTGTTTATGTAGTTTTTCGAATTGAAAAGAGCTAACATATCCAGGAAGCACTTACGCGAGGTAAAAATGGCGAGCCTTTCTTGCAAGCTTGTCAATATCCGAGATTTCATGTGTGCACTAAATCATATACTTGCTAATAGATGTTTAGGGTCAATCTTTTTGTGTAGTTAAAATCTCTGAACATGATCACTCTACAGCTGAAAACATGTGTTTAGTTGTAGAAATTGTGTTAGATCTAGGTTTGAAGCAATTTATCTTGGTATGTGTATCACTTGAGATTTTGGATTGTTTGCTTGCTTGGGATTTGATGGAGGAAACGAGATTTAGGTTTAGAGAACCCATTTAGGGTTTTATCCGAGAGAGAGAGAGAGTTTGAAAGCAAATTCGGTGGATGAAAGGAAAGGGAGAGAGGTGTAAGGTGCGGTGTTTGCTGTTTTTATCAACTACCTACCCATTAAAGTTGATGTCCACCATTCTACCCATTCTACCCTGCACATCAAAATTGATTATGTCCAACTCAGGGACAAAATAGTAAATAACAAAATCAACTCTTTCAAATGCTCTAAAGCTCACCATTCATCCACTTGTCCTCTCCAATTGGTCTATTCTTACTCTTCCATCTTTCCCTCACTTTTTCCCTCTTTCCAATTTTCTTCCTCTCTCTTTCCCGGTTACTCTTTGTTTCTCTTTCCACATTTCTTCCATTTTCTCTCTATCCCTTTCTCTTTTCCTATCAAACCCTAGCGGGTTCATCACTCTCATTGGTGCTTCACGACCATCTCGATCGTAAAAGGTATGTTTTTCCCCTCTTCTATTGTTCTTTCTTTCATGTCCTCTTCTTGTATTCATAGTAGATTTTGTTGAAATTTTTGTTGTTGTTATCCGTTGAATACTTTATGTTTTAATTGTTTTCAGAGTGTATGACTAGATTACTTATATTTATTTATTGATTTACAGATTCAAGCTGCCTGCTCTGCACTGCAGAATACTAGCGGTTTGTCGTGGCCGACGAATCACAGTAACAAAGTTAATGAAGACATTCTCGATTGGCTTCAACTGTTGTTTAGTTTCCAGGTAGAGCCCAAATTGATTTATGACCACCATTTGGTTTTTTATATTTCATTTAAATATTATCTCCTTGTACCTTTGCAGAAGGGAAATGTGAAAAATCAAAGGGAGCACTTGATTCTTTTGCTTGCGAATTTACATATAAGACAATTTCCAAAATATGATCAACAACCCAAGGTTTTTTTTCTTCTCTTTGTTGTTTTAGTGAATGACTATGGCTTAGATTTTTATTTCTGATTTGGACATAATAAAATTTATTCCGTTTTACAAACTGTACTTTTCATATTCAGTTGGACGACCTTGCTTTAAACAAAGTGATGAAGAAACTATTTAGAAGCTACAAAAAGTGGTGTAAATATTTGGGTCGCAAAAGTAGCCTTTGGTGAGATTTGCACGTCTTACTATAGTAATTACATCAAAACACAAACATATGAATGCAGCAGGTGCGAGAATCTCACTGTTATTAAACATCTAGGGATTTCCTGAATCTCTTCTCATGCAACTCCCTTAATTTGATTAGTTGATTTGATATTGTTTCTGGTTTTGATTCAAAGTTTGAAACTGTATGCTACTGTTAAGTGTAAAATCTGATTTTACCTTATGGGTATGAAAGTTGAATACTTTGGAACTTTTCTGTGGCTGTTGGTTTTTGTAGGTGGTAGAGATGTCGACTCCTGCTACGAAGAGATTGAAGACGTTGAACTCTTCGCTGGTGAACAAGAGCTCAACTCGAATATCTCACTACAAAGTTCCATTGAAAATTGCTTACTGGAAATTGCTAATGGGGTAGGCTTATGAATACATACACACAAAACTGAACCATATCTCAATTTATGCTTTATTCAGTTGCATTCTATTTGTGTACTAAACTTCTGTTTTTTCTTTGTTGGTTGGCTAGGTCATTGAAGTATTAATAGGAAAGCCTCTTTTTCCTGGAAAGAGTGTAGTCCATCAATTGGATCTGATGACGGATCTGCTCGGTACTCCCTCCCTAGATACTATATGGAGTGTTGGTTCAGTTCGCTACAGAATGGATCCTTCCAGGCGGACACTTCAGAGGATTTCAGGTGAATGACATTTTTACATTTCTTAGCATTTTATGATCTAATATGGCTGTGGCCAAAATCTGATGAGTTTGTTATTTGAATTATCATTTTTTGGATTGAGTTTGTGTGTATGTGTATTATGATGGTTAAAGTGCAGGAGTGAAATGCAATTTATCATTCTTGGAAGTTATCAATTTCATTTTTCCTTACAGCTTATTTTGTATACAAAACTCCACAATAATTTGTCAGTATTATCTTGTTGTTGTCTGTTTGGACAAGGAGAGATTGTAATACTGAAACATTAAATGAAAATCATTAACTTCCTTTCTTTTGCTGCCATGCTGGGGATATTAGTATTGTCTTTATGGTCATTCATTTCTTCCAGTCTTTTTCAATCTTTATATTGTCTTGAATAGGTTTATCACTATATTAAATATTAATATCACAAACTTTCCCTTGATTTTCATTGTAGATGATGAGTCCCTGTCCTCTGCCTCAACCAGTTCAGGTTTGGTTTCTAAAAGAGGTTACATCCCAAGGAGATTAGTGATTGGAAATGATGAGTAAGTGCACTGTTCTTTTTCATTGAGTTCTTCAATATCTTTTGTATCAGTGTCAAAATTTGTTGTCTTTTTCTAACAAGTAGCTATACTGAAAGTAGGTCTATAAGTGGAGATCATATAATATGAGTGGTACAGTTCTATTGATCCTTATGAAGTTGATCATTCAAGTTATTGTCAATAATATTTGCAGATATGTCACAATTGGC